TTGCATGTTTCAGAATTCTGCACAGGTACTTCACTACCCTAGAACAGCATGTCATTTCTTCTTTTAGTCTTATGATTCCAGTTACAAAACCAGAATCAGTATCCTTTCTTTGTTTTTGTTTTTTGATACAGTTTCTCTGTGTAATAGTTCTGGCTGTCTGGAAACTCTCTTTGTAGACCAAGCTGGCTTCGAACCCACAGAAACCTGCCTGCCTCTGTTTCTCCAGTGCTGGGATTAAAGGCATATGACACCACCTCCCGGCTTCAGTATCCTTTCTAATATTAAATAATCATACTGTTATTAACATAATATTAAACTATAGAAAATGGTAGTGCTATGAATGTAATACAGTGTTGGTAAAGACAAAGGTAACTTGACATTGGAATATTTAAGATAGTTGAAATTCATCAGTGAGATAAAGAATATAGTTAGTAGGTAATTTTTTAAGATTATTTTATTTTTTGTAATTATGTGTGCTTCTGTGTGTTTGTGTGCATGAGTGCAGTGCTCATGGAAGCCAGAAGAGGGCATCAGATCACATGGAGCTGGAGTTATAGGCAGCTTCATGGGTGCTAGGAACTACATTTGGTTCCCCTGCAAGAGCAGTACATGCTTTTAACTGCTGAACTCCCAGGTTGGTAGTTTTTAAAGTATATTATCATTTCTCCTTAGTGACTGGACAGGAAGTGATGAGGTGAGATGTTGGTATAAGGTCTCATTTTAGCTTCTCTGGAATTTTATGTGAGGACTGGCTGTGATTGGTGGAAACTAGACATTTGTTTCTGTGGCTATGCAAAACCAAAATGGAGTGTGCAGAAGTAGATTGGCAGTTCTTTAATAGGTTAAAAATTGATTACTATGTAGCCAAGACATTGTATTCTTGAGTACAAGCTGAAACCAGGTGCCCAGATTGGCATGGTGCCATATATCTGTAATCCCAGTACTTGGAAAGCTGAGGTAGTAGGATTAGCATGAGTTAGAGAATAGCTTGGACTACAAAGTAGATTCAAGGCTAGCCTGGGTTAAGTAGCAAAACTCTATCTCAAAGAAAGTAAGAAAAAACAAAGAAAGTATTCAAACAAAACGTGGTCGACAAATATTAATGGCAGCACTATTTATCAAAGCAAAGGGTGGCAGCAATCTAGATATCTATGACTACACAGATAAGAAAAATATAGTATATTCACACAATGAGATATTATTCTACCATAAAAAGGAATAAAGTACTTAAACATGCTACCATGTGGATGAACATTGTGTTACATGAGATAACCCAATAACAAAAGACCACATATGACTCCATTTATATGAAATATCCAAATATGAAATTGGCAAATCTGAAAAAACTGAAAGCAGATTAAGGGCTGCCATGTGGGAGAGAAGGCTGGTTGGAGGGGTACTTAATGGGTATGGTTTTCTTTGAGGTGATCTAATGTCTTGGAACTAGATAAAAGTAGTTGTATAGTGTTATCACCTCTTAAATGTCAGTAATAGTAAATTTCATGCTGTTTCTACTGTTCCACAATATAAAAATAGAATGTACTACTTTTGCAAAGATTTCCTAATTTTTCTTGTGAAGTACATTGAAGTTTGGTAAGATGATTCAAATCTTAAAGAACAGGAGAAATGCAGGGCAAAATAGTAGCAGCCATCATTTAGACATCTGAGTGGTGAGCCATGGGCTTCTGGGAAGAGATCCTAGGGCGAAGACCCACTTCTCACTCTACAGCAGCCACACAGGCCATACTGCAGGGTTCTGGGCCGGGCGGGCCTCTGTTTCTGCTGTAGGGTGACTTGGTTGTGAAGCCCTCACATAAAGCCATGGAATGCCGTGGGATACTGAGCTATTTAAAACAAGCATAGAAGGAACCCAACAGATATAAATTTGAGTTGCAGTGAAGCCAGGATAATTTCAGTTTATGCAGTGAAAAGGAAATAAACTTTTATGATCTGGAGGTGCTATAATAAGTTTAGTTAAAGGTGTATGGAAAGTTTCTAGCTACTGTTATGCATGTTTTTCCTTGCTTTCTTGTTTCCTTGCTTCCTTGTTTCCTTCCTTTCTGTTGAGGGAGTACATCACTTACTCCTTTTCATGCTGTGTTCTACTTTCAAATACGTTGAATTTTAGATAGTGAAAGGGACATTTTCTCATTGCAGAAACCCAGAAAAATTAAACATATATTTTATAAAAAGGAAGAAATCAGAGATAATGTACTTGAAGTTTTGGCATGTATGTGTCCCATGATCATTTTTCCCATTATTATATATTAATCTATATCTTGAGTTTTATTGGGATCATTGTATGCTCATCAACAGAGCGTCAACACTAGTATCACGGCTACTGGTAATTATTAATGGTATTTCATTTTATGTGTGGTCATTATTCCATTACTAGTGCGGTAAATTATCCAGGTCTCTCCTTGCAAGCTCTTTCCTATGTTCAGTTAGTCCTCTGTCAGGGATGCTTAGTGACTCAGAGTTTCTAAAATTGTGTTGACTAATTTCAGTTTTCCAAATGGAGGTTGATGAAATGTCTTAGTCCATTTTTCTGTTTTATAACAAAATACCTGAGACTTAGTAGTTTACAAAGAAGCATGTTTTGCTCAGACTACTGGATGCTGGGAAGTCTAAGAATGTGATGCTGCTATGTGATAAAGGCTTTCTTTTATTATATCATAATATGGCAGATAGTACCACAACATGGCAGAGCAACCATGCTAGTTCAGGGTTTTGTTCCTCCTTTTTATGAAGCCAATAATGTCTTCTTGGTAGCCCATCCTCATGAGCTTACCTAACCTTAATTCCCTCTCCAAATACCAGTAGCTTAAATTTGGAGATTTAAATTTTCAACCCATGAAGTTACAAACCATAGCATGGGCTGCAAAGAGAGAAGAGGTACATACAAACTCAGCTCAAGGCTGGGAATCATTTATAGAGTTCTTGCCTAGCATATATAAGGAACTGGCTTTGATCCCTAGCTCTGCAGACACATAAAGTTCAGTTCAAATCTCATGTTCTCCAAGGAAGTTGTTTCTAAGCCTCTCTTCTAGCCGTTCTATCTTCTGTCCTAGATCAAGAGTGCATTGACTAATACACAGAAGCATAGGCCTTGAGGCTGGATGGTTAGGTTCGTATTCGAGCTTTTGAAAAACTGAGTGTATTACTTAACATTTTGGTGCCTCCATATTCTCATCTGTAAAATGAGTACCAACCTTTTAGGTCAGGTTAAATAATCCACACCAAAAGTATCTGTAACATAGGACCTGGCTTATAGCTAGTCTTCAGCAAGTGGTAAAAGTTATTGTTGCTATTGTTTTATTCATTTGGTCCTGCTAGCTTGTGGCCTTGAGTGCTCATCTCATGCTTGGACAGCCGAACTACAGTATAAAGTCTCAGAAATTCAGATGCCAGTGTGCCTTTCATAGGGTTTTCCACAAAGTATATCCCTTGCCAATACTGATTGGCCTAAATTACTGTCACTGAGAGATTCCTTTTGTTGAATTTGGCCTTCATTCAAAATACAAAAGCAGAGCAGAAAATCTCAATAGCCTGAGCTGTATGCAAAATGAACTTCCTTTGGATAGGGACAAGATCATGGATTCCAGAATAGAAAATTCCTAGTCAAGATAACCTGTCATTCACTCATTCATTCATATATTCTCATTCATATCCCCAATCCCTCCCCCATATGTATGCATGTGTGTTTGATAAAGGGTCTCTCTATGTAGCCCAGGTTGGCTTTGAACTCCTAGCAATTCTCCTGCCTCAGCCTCCCAAGCCTTCCAAGTGCACCACCATAGATATCTTTCTGAGATCCCTAAATGATAGTGATAATGATCAGAAATAATCAAAAGAACTAAAGGCTACTAATCTGAAAGATCCAACTATAGTAGAAGAACAAACAAAATCTCATTTTCCCTTGTTTATTTGGGATTCTTGAGAACTGAATTATTTCCAATAACTCAATTTTCTTGTGGAAGTTTATTCATGTAACCTCCATGACATTTTTCATTTTAATGATTTTGATGTAGTTCTTGCTAATGTAGGCTGCACAATTTATAGCTTTCATACAGATGATACATTGAAAACAGTACAGACAGTGTGTTAGGCTTTGCATCATCATCATTAATATGTTGTTGTTGCTTAGAGTTTCAGCATTGTCAAATAATCCCAATGCCATTTGTCTTCTAAACACTCAGACAGCTTGACTCTTTCATGACTCTTCTAAGTTTTTTTTTTTCTCATTGCCAGGGTGAATCTTTTTTTTTTAATTTTGGCAACAGAAATGTGAACAACTTCTTTTCTTGTCTACAAAATACCCTTCTAGTTTATTGACTTGTAAATCCTATGCCCTGAGAAAACAGAAACCTAAATCAGTTACTATTTCTTTTAAAGAAGATGAATAGGCATTAAACCAAGTCTTGTACTTAGTGACAAATGTTTTAACCTTCTAAGGACTTAACTAACTTCTTCATTGCAGATTATTCTCAAAATGGACAAAATATTTTTTCATTTATAAGCTGTGATGCTTATTATTTTCCATCCTAGCATTGGTGTCTTCTTGCTGCTCCTAAATTAAGTATATGAATTAAGTTAAAGCAAACAATTGCTGGGCTGGGTAGCACAGGTCTGTAATTCCACCTAATTGGGAGCTGAGGCAGGAGAATCTCAAGTTCAAGGCCTACCTAGGCTACAGAGTGAATTCAAGGATAACCTAGGTAAATTAATGAGTTCCCCCATCCTGAAATAAAAATAATGATAACAGTAACAAAAGGACTAGAGTTATAACCCAATAGTAAAGGGTTTGTCTCCCATGTGAGAGGCCTGGATTCAATCTCTAGAGCTGGAAAAGGAAGGGAAAAAATATCAAAATAACTAACAATAATCATTGTTTCCTGAGCCAGTGACAGTTTTATAAAGTAGAAGTTGAACTTGCTTAATATGGAGAGAAAATATTCTTCTATGTCATTTTGTGAATGTTGTTCTACTTTATTTTGCAGAGAAATCCTAATGAACATAACTATGGGGAAGCTCATAGAGCAGGAATTCATAACCATTGCACGTCACTACTGTGTGCCTGAAATCAGGGATCCAGATATAACTTGCTTAATTGCACAGGCCCATGAAAAGTTCAAGAAAAATATGTTTGAGAATTTTGACACATTCATTTATAACTGTGTGTACGAAGACAGAGAAAAGTAAGTTTTGTTTTATTGATTCTAATAAATCATTAAAGTTTATGTGAACTTAGATAGTAGAGGAATATATGTATTTTTTAATTATGCAAGTGGCAAAAAGAAAATTGACATGTCTCATCATACTGAATATTTTTAGTAAAACTATGTTAAATCATAGGAGATAGGGGAGCTATAGGGGAGATCCTCTATCTTAAAAAGAATAGGCTGCCCTCTTAAATTTTCATTTGTTTCTAGGTGCTTTTGACTAAAATAGAGTAAATGAAAATGTTACAGGGTTTAATGATGAGGTGTCATCTTTATATTATTTTGATACTAACTAGGATTTTTAAACTGTGGCTTTTATAATACACAGGGCAAAGACCTTATAAATAGACTTTCTACAGATCTAGTGGGGAGCTATTTCTTCTTAAAAACAATGAAGGTCTGTGTGATATTTTTCTAATGTGAAGCTCATGTGTGTTCAGCTTCATTAGGTCATTAAAAAACCTTTTCCTTTTTAAAAAAGGGTTTTTATTTTTATTTATATGTATATGTATATGTATATGTACGTTGTTTCTCTGTGTGCATATGCATATCACTGCAGTGCCTGTGGAGGTTGGAAGAGGGTGCTGAATTCCCTGGAGCTGGAGTTACAGGTGGTCGTGAGTCACTGGCATGGGTACTGGGAACCTCTGAAAGAACAGCAAACACTTTTAATCACTGAGCCATCTCTTCAGCTCCAGGTCATTTTTCATACACAACTTGACAGAGTGATCTTATTCTGTTTTGATCTCTCAACATCTTTAATGAAAAGAAAGACCTTACTTTTTCCTTTTGGGTTCTAATTTTGTGTGTTCATGAAAGAACACTGGTTGACTGAGAACACAGAAGAAATTAAGAAGTAACCTTTGGGCCTCCTGTAGAGAACATGACTTGATTCTGAGAAAATCAAAATGAAGATCCTAGTTGGGTTTGGGTCCAAGGAAAAGTCCATAAAAATACCCCCAAGTCATATTATACTTGTGTTGGAGGCTCTAAATGCCTGTCAAATTAGGAGATGTTTTCAAATATCAAAACCATTTTTGACTAGTGGTCAAGAATGCAGATCAATTACTTAGAGCAACACTCATGGCTACAGCTTTAATATGCTGTACTACCATCAACCAAGAATTGGAATCTGAGTCTTGAAAGGCTTTTCAAAGCACAGTCTGGTCCCTCTGAAGTGTAAAACAATGGTGAAATGCAATATGGTGACTATTTTTCCTTACTTTCAGTTTCAATGCCAGTTTTCATACTTCTATTTTAGGATATATCTCATATATATTTTCCTTTTTATAGCATGCAATTGTTGTTATCAGAATATATAACACATAAAAACCCATTTACTTTCTTTGAATACAGAAAAGGTGTATTACCCACCAAAGACATCAAAAGAATGTGCAAGTCCTCCAGGTTACCTTTGAGTGATGACCTTCTGGATAGCTTACTGTCCAGGTAAGTGAGAGGTCACCCTTTGAGGAAGACTGATTTTCATGGTTTTATTTGGGAGGGTTTTTTTAATTGTTTATTTAAAGCTTACTATAACTAACCATTTTAAAGTCACTTTCACATATATTATACCAAGCAAAATTATTGCCTTTGCAAAATCATTATTGGATCCATTTGTCTACTAAATAATTTTTACATAAGGGTCCTTTGTGCTGGGTACATAGTTGAACATATGAAACAAGTAAAATATATTGATAAATTTTTGACAGATGATTCCGATGGCTGAAAATCTTTATGACAGACATGCACATTTAAAAATACAAACTCAACAGCAGGGGAAATGAGAATCAGAGGGCAAGCTCTCTTTTTCTTCTGGTTGCTTTGTATGGGGTCATTTAATCATGGTTCTAATCACTGTAATAAAAAATGTACATGACATACCAAAAAGGTCTGCATTAATCCTTCTAGACCTAATATCATATAATATGCCCAGAAAGTCCTTCCAGCTCCTTCTTGTACCAAACAGTCACTGTGCTGTTTATCAAGCATACACTCATGGCTTTATTAAAACTGTATCATCTTTCTTTAAAATGCATCTTTTGTCCATGGCTGTCACCAGTGATGGGCAAACATTGTAAGGGTGAAGATGACTCCTAGGAAGCACCTATGACATATGGCAAGAGCTTCGGTTTGAACAAAGAAGGGCTGTGTTCCTTAGTTACTGACACTGAGGCAGTCCATGCCTATTTGTTTCATCAGAATTTTCTTTTTCTAGATCAATTTGGGAGACTATCTTTAATTATCTTTGAAGTATTATGAAAGAAAAACTTAGTCATGATTTTCATTCTTTTAATTAATTTAATTCTTATCATACCTGTTATGAATTATTGTTTTATCTTTTGGGCATTAATGTGTGCATACACATGGGTTCCTGAGGCAAAGTGAAATGTACACCTTTATTGGTTATGATATTACTGTAAAATTTAGGTCAGGCTTTTCAAAGCAGTAGTGCCTGGTGGCTAAAGACGTACAGTAAGAAGACCTCGGGTTATGAGCACTTACTTGTTTGGCTCCTCTGGAGCCAGGCATGAAACAGAGATGATGGTGCCGTGAAAGACATCATCCATACTGTCACCATATTTTGGTCATTTATGCTTCCTACGCTGTTAGTCTGAGCTCCTCTTGCCCTCTGACTTACATATCTTGATAATTCTGGTATTTTTTCTTTGTGCCAGGTATGATAATTGCCTTAAATGCATTATTTCATGTACGTCGTGAGAGCAACTTAGAGTGGACGGAACTATTACCTCTCCTATGTATATGAGATGTTGAGGTTTAGAGAAAAATGGTATTTTGCTCAAGGTCACAATATTCTAGAAGAAGATCTATAACCTTGTAGCTAGAGTTTTCCTGCCTTGCCCACAGTCAGGACAAATCTTTGTCACCCGCCAGTCCCACAGCTGCTCAGACCCAACCAAGTAAACACAGAGACTTATATTGCTTACAAACTGTATGGCCATGGCAGGCTTCTTGCTAACTGTTCTTATGTCTTAAATTAATCCATTTCCATAAGTCTATACCTTGCCACGAGGCTGGTGGCTTACCGGTATCTTCACATGCTGCTGGTCATGGCAGCAGCTGGCAGTGTCTCCTGCCTCAGCCTTCTGCTTCCCAGAATTCTCCTCTCTCCTTGTCCCACCTACTTCCTGCCTGGCCACTGGCCAATCAGTGTTTTATTTATTGACCAATCAGAGCAACAGATTTGACATACAGACCATCCCACAGCATAACCTGACCATTGAACCTTCCAGTTTTCACCCCTTGTTTCTAATAGTTTTGTATTATTGTCTGCAAATAACCAGCATATTAGGATGCCTTGACAATTCTGCATCCTTCCACTGCCTACCCCTACACATTCTCCTCCATTGCCACTATGACCACTTTTGTACTGACCCACATTCCTTCCTGACCAGTAAAGAGTTTCCATATTGATCTTCTACTGATCTCTGGAGTTTCAGATCTGGCTTTACATATGGCAGCTAAGTACCTTGTAAGAGCAAAAATGTCCTGTGGTTCTCTTTTTATGTACCTGTGCTATTTCATTGTTGTGTACAGGAAGATAGATTCTTTTGTCCTTTACTCATAACTTTTTCTTGGAATCTTCATCTGAGACAAAAATCAAAAGGAAAGGAAAGATAAAGATAATTCCCATGCTGGAGATCTAGAATCTAAGGTGTCAGGAGAGGAAGCTATTCCAGATAGATGAATGAGTTCAGTGAACTGACCTAGAGAGATTCTCTAAAGAATCATCTCCTTTTATTTTTTTCTTTTCTTTTTTGATTGCTTGCTTGTTTAGGTCAATTTGCTTTTATTTTCTAGTGGCACTGTGGAGGGGAAGTTGGTCCTCCTGGTGTAAAATAGCTGAAATAAAGAAGTAAGCCTAGGACTCCAGATTCTCTATAGTCATCATGCTCCTGAGGCCTCTACTTCCTATCCCATAATCCAGAGAAATGAGTCATCTGACATTTTGCATATACATCCCCTACCTTTCAGCACTTTTGGTTTTCTCTGGCTACTTTTTCAGTAGGAAATTGCTTCCAATTGTCTTCCCTCTTCAATACTCCCTTCAAGCATCAGCACATACATCAAGTTATCTTATACATGCTTAGCTGATGATTGCAGTGATTTTCTCCTAGGAATTCTTAAAATTCTGTGTTTTTCCTTTTGTCCCTTACATAGTAATAAAGAGTTGTGACTTGACCCTTGGTCCATTCGCATGCTGACACTACTCCTGATGTATTTGATTTACCACCTGTGAACAAGCAACAAGCTGCCGAATCTTTGGGCACCCAACATTGTCTCTTATGTTCTTTGAACCCACTTAAAACTGTGCAATCTTATCCAAGAGTTGACTTGTCTGAATATCAAATCCCTTTCCTCTAAAAATGGATAACCAATTTACTTCCTAGTATTTATGTCCTCTGAGTTCTGAGGAGTCACTGAGGTAACATACAGAAAGCATGTGGCACAGCACCTGGAACTATCTCTCAGCTGGGAATGGAGCAAAGCTGAGCCAGAGGTCACAGTTCATATGGTGAACCTCCAAACTGAACCAGAAGGAGCCTGTGTCTTTTATGGAGGGAGTCATGTTTTGTGACAGTTGGATCTGGATGCCTTTCATACATTAAGCTGTCTTCTAATCAGGAAGCTGCAGATCTTTATTAGATTATCTCTTGATAAGCTTGAGGATGAGTTCTTCTGGAGAGTTCAGTGATGTGGGAGCCTGGCCTTGGAGGACTCAGAGTTCTTACCCAATGCTAAGGCCACTAACCCATCATCCTCCCATTTTCTCAGCAGACTATTTTGTCTTTGCCTTTATGATTTGACATTAAATTTAAAAAGACTGTTCTGCAACTTGTTTTGGAATCTGTCTCAATCTCTGTATGACTGCCTCCAAGCCTGGCTTAGCTTTGAAGAGGTCATGCCTCTCTGCTGCTGAGCAGCCCATGTTCAGTCTTACTTTGCCTGTAATTGTGCAGTGACCCTTCTCCATACTCAAGGGAAACTTCAGACTAATCAGATTAGAAAATGGCTCATTCCCATTCCCCTCTCCATCCAATGTGCCCTGCCATGATTTGGGTCACATGCTTGGTGTTTTGCGTCATCTCCGCAGATTCCTTTCAAAGACTGCCCTAATTCCTAATGGGCCCATCAGCCTGCAGCTTACATTTAGATTCTGCATTCTTATTGTTCCCCACAGACTGCATAAGGCTTTACAGAGCCTTGACAAGAGTCTCTGTCTGCACAGCCCTCCTCATGGCACGCTAAACCAGAACCTCCTTTGACGTCTGCAGTCTCCCATGGGAGGAAGGCATGGAGCTTGCTGTTTTTGTTCGATGCACACTATGCCCAGGGTGGGGGGAGATTTACCTGCATTATGGTGAGGCTGGGTAGCTGCTGAGCTCTGTGAATTCAGATCACAAACTGAAAAGCACTATGGCTACAGGATAGGGTGCTTCTTTCTACCTCGTGACAGCTATCCAGGCATTTTTCCTCCCACTGTGTTTGGTGGTAAGATTTCTCTTCTGTTTCATTCCCTTTGTCCTTAGAACTCAGCTAGGCCTTTTCCTTATTAGTACAACCAAAGCTGCAATGTGGACTTCACAGTCTTCTCATAGGCATTCGCTTCAGGCCCCAGCAGCTTTTGTCGTAAGAGCTGGTATAAACTCATCTTAGTTACTACCCAAGCTCATTTCACTAATGCACACAGTATTAGATTTCAGCTGTATGTAGTGGTGGTTAGTACCCATTAATAACCGTAGTGACACTGGATTGACGTAGTGTTAAGAACCGACAATACTTTGTGAAGAGCATGTTAAAAGGTATATTTTCATTGATGAAGGCATTATTCATTATTTCATAAGTGCAAGCTTTGAGATACAAGGAGAGTCACTGAAAAAGGGTGCTCAATGCCAAGGTAAATTTCAAACAGTTGCAGCTCAATATGATAGCCTACACCTTTGCTTCCATCCAAGCTCCTAGAGATAGGACTCTGGCCCCTCATCTTTAAAGCCTTGGTCTTGCTGCTACATTGTATGTGTCTGGAAACCACCATACCTGTCTCTAAAATCCAACTCAGCTGCTCCCTGGGTATGTGGTCTTTGCTTATTTAACCCCTGTGAGTCTATGTTTAGATGTGGATATCCTTTAGTACCTCTGAGCAAGGTATTTTGCTTCTTAAATCTCAAAAGATGGATGGAAATCTGAGGTCATTCCAACTTATGTCCCTTGTAGAACTAGAGAGTAGAAAGGTACCTTCTCTAATTCTAACCTTCTGAAACTAGATGGGGAATTCAAATGTAATCTTCTCCCAGCAGCTCTGCCTCAAGCTAGTCTTTTATGGCTGGCTTTGGGTCCCATGGAATGCCTTAGAACTGGCCTCCCAAGAGAGCTGGTGCCTCATCCAGAAAGATCAGTTAAAATGGAAAAAGTTAACAGGGCTTTAA